TAATACTTTATAATAATTTTATATAATATGGATAATGACTGAAAGAGTTAAGTACATAATGAATCTTATTTAATTGATTTGGAATTTATTTTATAGGTATTTACATTTTATTTTTTTAAATAATTTCAACATAGTTATAATATCGTATGAMATATCCTAGACTGACATACCATCTCCACTCAGAATAATTTTTCGTATACAATGATATAATATCATTGAATTCAAATTCAATTTCATCCATTACAGTAACCTTCTTGTAACAGCTACTATACTGCACGGCGACACCCACTAACCCACTTTTTTAATAATTTTCAGAATTTTTAAGGATAATAGATAAGGACTATAATATTTACAAATTCCTAATATTTTTCGTAGTAGGTACTAGAAAGTGCCATCAGACATGTAATTTTATCGGTATTTATGACACACGAGTAACTACCCAGTACCCACAGGGTAACAACATACAATACATACATACATACCTAATACAAATACGTCGCTATATAGGCGATACAAAACCGAGAGAGTGTTGGGCATTCCGAGAAAATAATACAAAGATCCAGTGAACTGAGACTTACAGATTAGACAGAGAGAGATAGAGAGAGGGAGAGAGAGAGAGAGAGAGAGAGAGAGAGAGAGAGAGAGAGTGTGTCTGAAACGGCAAATATATTGTATTATATTATATAGATATATTAATATCTTTCGAGTCGGACGCTTTTTTTTGCCCGAAATTCGGAGAATAAACATCTACGAAGGGACATTATCATTGTTCACTATTGTAAAATATTCTTTCGACCTTCATCTTGGCCACACACATTGATTAAGTGTCTGCATGTATAAGATACATTCTAACGTTATTATTATTATTATTATTATTATTGTTATTATCCCTCGTCCCCGTGAATGCGTGTTTCTCCGTCTGTGACTAAAATGCGCTTATAGGCGCCTGTTGCAATAATTTATTGTTGTACAGAAAGGAGACTCGTTTCCAAATAAATAAAAAATAAGAAAAAGGTCTGTCGCCAGTTAGACAGTTCAAAAATACTGCAGGTCGGTCTCACGCTGAGCGTTTTGGACGTTTTGTATGTTTCACACGATGGAAAAAGAATTATGATTGTGTGTCTCTGTATACTGGATTTGGTAGTCCTTTTATCAAAAATCATTATTTCTATATTTCTAAGAAATTGTCAATGCACGCCTACACTGCACGTGACCTAAACAATAATTTGTTGTGCACTGGGTAGGTATCGTTTCTGACCCAACGTTATTGTTGCAGCCGTGTATATTATATAGAATTGTAAGATGTTTATGCTCGCAAAGAAGGCCTCATTTGACGAGTGTATATCGAAGCTGTTACCCTTGAACATAAAATATAATATGTACCGAGCAACCATATAGTTAACAGGGTGCTTGGCGAACCATAACGAAAATCGAAACGATTTTATTTGAAAATTATATAGATAGATAGTTAGCACGCCAAACTCACCGAATGAATATTCCACAGACCACAGAAACTTATTGTGCATTAGTTGTATAGATTGTTTATTTTTAATAAAAAATAAACAAAATAAAAATATATATATATTATTATACTGAAAATAATTAAGATTATTTAAAAATAAAAAACCGAGTGTGGTATTTCGGAATTGGAAACAAAAATGTTTGGTTTAAATGCTACTTTTTAATTTAATTTTTTGATTAGGGGACCCCGCGGCAATAGGCCACTGGGTGTGGGTGTACGATAGTAGTTATTTTTATATTTTGTTTTGTAGGTTTTAAGTTAAAAGGGTTGTAACATGTATTTTTGTATGTGTGACAAAGTATGTTGCTAGCACGAGAGCTAGCAACTACGGCTGGTAGGTACGTATATGCTCAGTGCGTTTCCGCAGATTGAGCGTACAACCATGCTTCACTAAGCCACACACTACTTTTTGAAGACTACTGTTAGCTGATATTCATAAATCGCGAACAGTATAATTATTGTGTGATTCTTGTTTCGTTTATTGGGTTGAAAAACAAATTTTGCTAATTGACGAAATCCTAAATATTATGCTGTAAAAAGTATACTCAATCCTAAAATATGACCTAAAATACAAAAATATGAAACGTAAAATTTTGTTTGCAGAACCGTAGGTATAGTTATAGGTTAAATGAAACAATTAGTGTAAGTACTTTACTATTTTTTATTTGACTTACCTATAAAAAAATATGAAAATTCATTCAGATGTTGTAATTACTATATTACTAATTATTACGAATTATAAATAACTTGTGGCGATGATCGAATTCAAAAGTGTATAGATATTTGTTAATCTTAGGCCCTGTTTTCAATCATCCGGTTATTCGTTAAACCAGTACGACTATGCACACACGTTAATAGTAAGGAATATTCGTCAATTGTTTCGATTTTTTTAGAATAGGTACGTGAAATCTATACATCTTTTGCGCCATGCCGGTGGATTTATCTCAAAATAAAAAGGTGTACCATCGATTGCACCAGGAAAATCTTAATATATTTAGATAATAGATAATATTTCATTTAAATACACATTAAAAGTCCACCAAAACCATAATAATTCTATTGTTGAGAATTAAATTGGATATATTAAATTATTAAGTCTCCTCAATTACAATCAAATATAATATAGAAAAATAACATATAAAATAAATAATAATATTTTTTATCTTCATATAATATTACATTTTATTGCATGTAGGTAGAAAAACAATACTCTTGTATACATTATAAACATATTGTTTATTAATATACTTAATAGTTAATACCTATTATGTTTAAATGCATTTGATGTTTTAATATAGGTATATACAATTACCATTCCAGTATAAAGTTTCCGAGTTGTGCAATTGATATAATTATAGGACCACACAATGAGTTTATGCCCAGCTCGTCAATATTAACGTTAATATTGGTTTTTTGACCAAAAATGCCAGATTTAACAGTACTTTGTGTCATACAGACCCAAACAGTGTAAATACCTACGCTAAATACAGTGATACCTCTCTATATAAGGCTCTAAATACCAGACACTGGCGGTCACTAAAATTGTGTTCGTTGTTACTTGTTTGAATGTTTCTACAATCCAAAAAGTTCAGATTGTAGAAAGAATGTAGTAGGGTCCTCAAAAAAAAAAAAGGATCACTATTAGGAGGTGTCTATTAAGAAAGGTTTCACTGAAAATAAAGTTATAAGGTATATATTAATATTTTATCCATATTTTAGTAAACTAAATTTTATTATTAGTGTGCCTGTTAAATAATACATTATAAATATTTCGTTGAAACATTATTAATTATATATACACAAAATAATTTAAATCTAATAAATATTTATTATTTAATAATAATCATACACGTTTGTATCGTTTACTGTTAAGAGGACGCCACACCCGCATGTGTTGTCTCAGTCTTACAAACTTATAACATAGCAAAATCTGAACAGCGCGGGACAACTTTACTCCCTTTGTATTAATAGTAAAATTACCAAAATTCCACAACGTATAGGG